TACTCCCCTTTAAGAAGATATGTTACAAAAGAGAGTTTTAAAAAAAAAAAGCTTAATTATCCAAAAAAAAAAAAGAGAGAGAGATTCAAAATTAGGACATGCATTTGATACTTTAATATATAATTATGCCTTCTTGATTATTAAATGGAGAATATATCTTTTAAAAAGATATAATAAGACACAATTTTCAACTGTCAAATTGTCATCAAAGTCTTTTAAATCATCATATTTTCTTTAATATAAACATGAAATATAATAACTTGATCTAATTGTTAAAAACTATCATATTGATATAGAATTATGCCCGTCTAGTATGATTCATGCACTACCATAAAATTCTCCGAATAACATATACACGCAAGAATGAAGTTTTACGTTAGTTCATGCGCAGCTTTTTTCATTATGGGTTAATTGGTAGTCAAACCTGTTAAAATCATCGTTTTAATTTGGACATTGCTAGGTAATCAAATCCTTGTATGTCGTTTTCAGTACCAAACATGTGTCGTCCTATATATGAAGCTCTTGGCCTGAAAAAAAAAAAAAAAAAAAAAAAAAACAAACTGAAGAAAGAGTGAGAGACTGAGATTAATGGTATAGATATACATTCACACATTATTATACACCAGTTAAAAAGCGAACGAAAGATCTTTTAAAACAATAATTTATTTCAAATTTAACTGTCGAAAAATGAGGTCGTCTCGTTTTGCCTTTAAAAGTTTAAAATAGCCGGAAATGGCACTAAAGGAAAAATTCCATTATTCTTTAATAATGTAGTATAGATATAAATATAGATATATACAAAAGTATATTAGAAAGAGATAGCAAAACCCCAGTTGAAAATGCAAATTTGAAGGAAACCAAGACCAGAAACCTTTTATTTGGGTGGAGTTGGCAAAAGTGGGGCGGGTACTTTATAATCAGTAGTTATCCTAAGAGAACAAATTATATATTGTTATTCTTTTAAAACGAATTAATGGGAAAGAATATGGTTTTTGAGCCAACGAAATTAATCATATATTAATATAGCCTTACCTACTCAAAGTACACTCTTAATTATAAGTGGACGCGTATAATATTGGACCAATATCTAATTAGATTAACATGTCGCAATCTCAATATTTGGTACGGAATAATCTTGGTCATCATCAGCAAGAATACTATAACTTTTTTAGATGATAAGCCACTAACAGAAACTATGAAGTCGTGACGTTTGTCGTTGGGGACAGATATGATATGTGAATTGGTAATATTCAGACAACACATAATAGAACATTATTTGAAAGAAGAAAAAAGAAATTAAGTGTTTAAATATGAAAAAAAAAAAAAATGGTAGAGTGCCACTCAATGAACAAAGAGAATTAAATCTTCTGTTATAATAAGGAGAACTTTATAATAGGATATGAAAAATACTCGTTGCAAAATTATTTTTAACTGTAAGATTTGTATGTCATTTTGACGTACGTTTTATTTTAATGTGTTTTTAATTAGATCAAAGTTGAGAAAACGGTAAATACCCTTATTGTAAAAACTCGGTTAATTAGAACATGCTTTCCTTTAATTTGCATTCTTGTCTAATTAATTAATAACTAAGTATGCATTACTTTGAGCGTGCCAGCTAGAGCCGCAAAGTAGATTAAAAGGTTTTAGCTCAAGTAAAACTGTTACCTTTTTCTTTATGTGCATAGGTACATTATATTATAATTAGTGTTCATATATCTACTATCATGAAGTTAGCGTGTTTTGCTTACTGACGATTAGTGAATTAATTACTTACATCTTTCTTCAGAGAATATTTTTATTTGATTTTGTACATTGATAAATCATAAATATTTCTGAGCTACTTATAGTTGTCACCTCTATAGAGTTACACAGAGGCTATGCACTATTATAACTTTGCCTATTCTAATTGAGAACGATCTCACATGATCTGGCCAAAATCTATGCCCTTTTTTTCGGCCATGATGATCTTAGTTTCCATTATTAACTACGTTTTTTTTTTCTTCTTTTTATTGTTTACAAAGAAAAGTTACTAATCTCATTGAAAATTCCATATTATTAAAAGTCATGACTTAATTAATTTCTTTCCAAAATAGTTTTCTTCTTTGTTAAAAATTAGTGTCGCCTAATTTCATCCCTCTATAAACTGCACCAGCTAACAAAGCAATTTCAAGAGTTATATTTATTTATGTTGGGATTTTACCACATTTTCCTCATCTTATCTCAAAACAGTGGTAAAAACATCATTTATATATGCATAATACCAATCTTTATCAAGGGTGCAGATATATAAATATATGTATATATATATATATATATATATACATACATATGCGTGCATAACTCATTATCTAAATTTCAAAAAATTTTGTCTGATCACAATGCATATCATAAGAATATATAGCTTGAAGACAACAACGAAGATATTCTTACTGTCCACCAGTATGTAAAGCTCTACCAAAAAAAAAAAAAAAAAATTCACAAGTCGCAATCAAAACTAGTTCAGAAATCAACTAAGGGTCAATATAGTTAGGCCTCCACTACCTATTGTTTCTAAAGCCAAAGATTATTTTTGTGACCATGAAATATGACTATATTCATATATTGTACGGTTGGTACTACCATAAAAAGGTCTCAAAGTAGTGGATAGGCTTTGCATGAGAAGAAAAAAGGATACAAAATTAATACAGACACAGGACTCAAGCATTGGCCCTGCTTTGCTGTTTCCCTCTTATTATTATTATCATTCACAAATCCACACAACTAGGCAAGTTGCTCATCAAAACAGTTTTTTTGGCAAATATTTGAGTGTGGATGAAAAAGAGATGCAAAAGAATTTTTCCAAATCAATATAAAGTTTCAAAATCTGCTCAAATACGCATATCTTCATTTTGTTTTTGAAATTTCCATGCAAAAATATTTACCACTCTTTGAGTCGGATTCTACATCACTAGCTAGTGATTTGCTGACTTGGCTATTTGAAAAAAAAAAAGAGAAAAAAAAAAGAAAAAAAGAAAAATCATGGGTACTAATTAGTTTAGTTGGATAAGTACTTCTACTGATAATCAAGCATATATATATATATGTGTATATATATATATATATATATATGAATCAAGGAATATATTGCAAGTTTATCTAAGTGAATGTATCTTTTATGCTCCGAGATAGAAGCAAACATTTTATAATATTGGTCTTAATATTGAGTCATTCTCTCTCTCTAGCTTTATGGTCTTTTCCTTTGTCACACTGTTGTCACCATGACTTGATTCTGATGCAAGACATTCACTCTTGGAATGCAATGAGTAGTGGTGACCTTGTTCTCTTTTGTACTGAACTAATTAAAAGAATACAATAACTTTTATTTGATGACACATAATTCTTTCTTTCTTTTATTTTTATTTTTATTTTTATTTTGTTTAGGATAAGTTTATTTCAATTAATTATACCAGCAATACCTAAGCACTATGAGAGCTTATCACACGTTTTCTAAGATGACAGAATATGTACAGGTCAACTGTCCTTTATGAGTTTAACAAGATCTAGTTTTGGCCTTTGAACAATTTTGCTTTACATTATCCACAATTGATTAGCTTCATAAAAGAGGTCAAAGAAATTTCATGAACATGTCATGTCTTGTTCAAAGGTATAATTATGTGATAGGGCTCTGACTTTCTAAGGATTCGGACTTCTATTTTAAAAAGTCAATCTATTAAGTGAGACGGTCAAATGTCTTTATAAATTAGTGTTTGTTATTGTATTCAGATGTTATGAGACTCGGGCTCGTTTTTACCCTCACATTTTAAACAACGCAATATCTTGTCCACCACAGAGAATTTACTAACATGTTAAAGCTTTCTGTTTATGAGTAATATTTTCTTTTTAGATACACAAGAGACTGACCTGTTATTTTTATTTTTAGTGTCGTTGCCTCAAATTAAATTAAGGCATAGGTTATCTAGCTTCATCATTCTTCCACTTTCTAAACTAAACAAAGCAAAAACTACTGAAACTTCTGTTAAACAAAAAAGTTGAGCTGATTAATGGTTTGAGAGGGGAAAAAAAAAAAAAAAAAAAAAAAAAAAACTCTGTTATTTTTATTTTTAGTGTCGTTGCCTCAAATTAAATTAAGGCACAGGTTATCTAGCTTCATCATTCTTCCACTTTCTAAACTAAACAAAGCAAAAACTACTGAAACTTCTGTTAAACTAAAAAGTTGAGCTGATTAATGGTTTGAGAGGGGAAAAAATAAAAAAAATAAAAAAGATAAGCAGACATAATAAAAAGTCAATTAGGAAAAGAAAATATTCTGTTAAAGTTAATAAATTGCCTTAGCCCGCTGACTTTCCTAAACCAAACAATCTAGAGCTGTTTAAAAGTGGGATACAGTGGATGTCACAAACTTTAAAGTGAACTTTGTCATAAGGTTAGGAGAATTTGGCTCCATTTTTTGCTTATGTGCATCCTATGAGATCATAAAGAAGGGAAAAAGAAATTTCCTCAAAGCCAATGGCAATCCCAATACACATTTTCATGGAAACTGCTTATATTTCTGCTTTAAAAGTATAAATATAGGCTTCTAGTTCTAGACCTTAAATTATATTGTGAGCTTGTGATGATTAATAATGGGCTGGAGTTTAAATTCCTTTATATCAACTAGTGGGGTTTTCAAGTATTAAAATTCGCGAACAATGGTCTGCTTTTTCTAGTAAATATAATACTCATCTCAGATCCAAGTAAATAATGCCTAGTCAGCCAAACTTTTGAAAAGCAATCTTTTTCAGAGGAAATCTTTGTCTTCTTGTCCTACAAAGAGACACCAAAACATGCAACCAATAAAATATCTCATGTAGGTAAAATTTCAGGTCTATAAATAGTTCTAGCTTGTGAGAGCCAGAAGGCAAATTAAGAGCATTTTCCTCTCAACCATTTTCTTCCACTAAATTACTTCAAGTCTCCTCAATCAGTTAAGTTTGTCGTAACATTGACTTAGTCCTTTAACCATGGAGATTGAGTCAGCTGCTCAAGGGAAGTTGGGAGTTTTTGGCAGGTGCAAGGCCTTGCCAGGGAAGGCCAAGGACAAGATTTTCGACGTTGGAAAGAGCGTAAAAAAGCTCGGAAAAGACGACCCCAGGAGAGTTATTCACTCACTAAAAGTGGGGCTAGCTCTAACATTGGTTTCTTTGTTGTACTTTTGGAGACCTCTTTATGATGGCTTTGGAATGTCAGGAATGTGGGCTGTACTAACTGTGGTGGTAGTCTTTGAATTCAGTGTAGGTAAGTAAGAGACAAAGTTTAAAAAAGGACGAAAATAGGATTGTCCAGTTCAATATGTGCATGCATCGTTGTGCTGAAATAACTTGTCTGTGTTTGTTTTTCCTGTTCAGGTGCAACCCTTGGAAAAGGTCTAAATAGAGGTTTTGCAACATTACTGGCTGGTGCTCTAGGCGTCGGAGCTTTGCATTTATCGAGTCTTTTCGGAAAGGAAGGAGAGCCCGTTGTCCTTGGAATCCTTGTCTTCCTACTAGGTAGGCATCAAAAAGTACTTGTATACACAAATTACACCGCTTTTCTATGCTCATTTAGGAGGAAATTTATCATGTTTTCCTACATTCACAAACTTGTGTTTGATGTTTTGCAGCTGCAGCAGCTACATTCACAAGATTCTTCCCCAAGATCAAGGCAAGATATGACTATGGAGTCTTGATATTCATATTGACATTCAGTATGATTTCGGTCTCTGGATATCGAGTCGAAGAGCTCCTAGAGATGGCCCATCAAAGGCTCTCCACAATCTTAATAGGTGGAACAACTTGCATATTTGTGTCCATGTTTGTTTGTCCAGTTTGGGCTGGTCAAGATCTTCACAACTTGATTGCTTCCAATATAGAAAAACTTGCAAACTACCTAGAAGGTAACTATCTCAGTTACCTAGTATTTTGTCATCTATATATCCAATTTTAGCTTCTATTTTGATCTACTAGGATTACTAAGAACAAGAAAACTGATTGCAGGTTTTGGATGTGAATATTTTCAAGCTTCTGAGGATAAAGACTGCATTGAGGCCTTGAAAAACGACAAGTCGTTTCTAAATGGCTATAAAAGTGTCCTCAACACAAAAGGCACAGAAGAATCTCTGGTGAGTAATTATTATTTGGTCATTGATGCTTTATTTGTCTAGACATGAAAAGTGACCTTGTGGACCATCATACGTCTATGCAGGCAAATTTTGCAAAGTGGGAACCAGGACATGGTCGTTTTCTCTTTCGCCACCCATGGAAGCAATACTTGAAGATTGGAGTCCTTGTTCGCCAATGTGCTTACCAGATTGAAGCTCTTAATAGCCATTTTACCTCTGATATCCAAGTATATACATCATATCTATTAATCTCCATAGAATTGCTTAGAAAATAATACAGTTTCATGCTCTTAACATGAAGAACAGAAAACAAAAACAAAGTTTTCAAAGTATAACGATCACCATAAAATTAGTTAACATGAAAAGAGTATATATTAAAAATGATAGCTCACTATTACCATTTATAGTCAAATGCGGTTTTCTTAAGAAAGCTAAAATCATCTTGAAACTTTTCTTCTTTGAACTTCCTCTAAACTGATTAGTTTTCTGAATGGGCACAAAAATCAGTAATCTTTTCTTTATCATTTGAACTCTCTAAATTGAATATTGCTTGTCCACTAACATGGTTATTTAACTTTTCTCACAGGCACCAGTAGAATTTATAAGAGTGATTGAAGAGTCATGCACAAAAATGAGTTCTGAATCAGGGAAGGTCTTGAAATCATTAGCATCATCAATCAAAGCAATGAAGCATCCAGAATCTGCCAATGAACACGTCGAAAACTCCAAGGCCGCGGTTAAGGACCTCAAAACCGCGCTTGAGGCCGCGGGAATGGGGGATTCTGACCTCCTGGCAATCATATCAGCCGCAACAGTTGCTTCAATATTGGTTGAGATTGTGGACTGCGTAGAGAAAATATCAGAAGCAGTTCACGAGCTTTCACAAATGGCTCGTTTCAAGAAAGTTGAGAACACTGTCTCCCCGGAGACTAAACCGAAGCAGATGTTGCTTCACCGGGGAAGCGTGAAGCCGGTTTTGGATGGTGATCAAAGACCTGATCATGTTACAATCACAGTACTTGACACAGCTAGTATTGATTCCTTAGAAAATGTTAATGTGAAGCCTCAAGGGCCAAAGAAGCCAATAGAGGAAGTGTAAATATTTGTTAGTACTAATAGATAGTAAAAAAAAAAAAAAAAAAAAAAAAAAAAAAATTTCCAATTTTTAAAAAAAAAAAAAAAAAAAAAAAAAAAAAAAAAAAAAAGTTCTCAACTTGTCTAATTGTTGAGTAAATAACTTAATTTGATCAGAAGGGAAACGTTTTTACTTGTCCTTCCCTTTGCTTTCTTTTGTTCTTTTATGGTTTTGTAACAAATCCTGCTTTTATGCTATATGCAGAAAAAGGGCAGGGAAAGAATTTATAAAGAAGTATTGCTCTTCTAATTCTTCTTCTGATTTATTTATGTGGTGCTTTTTCTGATCCTTCCTTTTACTTTGAGAAAAGTTGTTAAAAGTTTTGATTATCATGTGGAGTCAAAACAAGAGATTCAAACAGATTTGAGTTTGTCTTTCAGGTATTGCATTCCAGTTGGAAACATTATATAGAGACATAGATTAATTAACGTTTAACCTCAAAGCAAAGTGGAATTTGAAGGATTAGAAAATGATAAATAAAAAATTATTAAAAAATGAAAATGACAATTGGTGCGTTTGGAATTATTTTCAAAAACGTTTATACACATCTTTTGAGGCATGAAACAAAAATAGTTTAGAAATCATGTTTGTTTAATAAAGGTTTTGAAAACGGATTCAAAAACAAAAAAACAATAGATGCGTTTGGAATTGTTTCTAAAAATATTTATACACATCTTTTAAGGCACGGAAACGAAAAATGACTACAAATCGCGTTTGTTTAATAAAAGTTTTGAAAATGAAAACGAAAATAAAAAACAGTTTGGAACTTGTTCCAAGATTATTTTATTTTTTGTATGAAAATGAAAAATGAAAATGTTTTCAATTTCAGACAGAAATCATTTTTGAAAATGTGTTTGGTAGTTTTATCAAGAGATTATTTTTAGTATAAAAAAACTCAATAATGTCTCTCTCTCTTTGCTCAAGAGAAGAGAAAACGAAAATAAAAAATGAAAAACGACTAAAATTCATTTTTCATTTCTCTCTCATTTTACACTAAACCAAAAAATCGTTTTCATTTCTGTTTTTTATTTTTATTGCGCCAAACGCTGTTTTAGAACGTTTTTATTTTTTCTTTCTCAAAAAACATGAAAAACAAAAACGAGATCAATTCTAAACACGGCCATGAGAATGATTTTTGTGAAGAAAGTAGAAAACGATTGAATGGTTTTCCCTTTTCCATTTTCAATTTCTAGTACTTATCAACAAAGTTATATTAATTAATAAATTATTAATTACTAATTATATTATATGTTAATTAATACTTAATAAATTGATATAATATATAGTAAGCACTTAATTATTAATTAAATATCAATTTATTACTATTAAGTTTTTAATTTTAATAATAAAATAATAAATAATACAATAATTAATTATTTAGTTAAAGATTAATTGTCAAAAATTAATTATATAACATATTAACAATAAAACAAGTAATAATAGGTTGTTAAATAAATAATTGATAATTAATATATCAATCATATATTATGTTAATTATAATCTATTAATTAGTAAATAGGTGGTAAATAAAAAATAAATAGTAATTACTCAATTAATAATTAATATTAAATTATAATTATCAATATGTAATATACTAATCAATAATAATTAATAATTGATAATTAATAATTAATCATTATAAAAAGAATAATCTCCAAAAATTGGTCATGTGATATATCAAATAATAGATTATTAAATAAATATTAGTAATTAATTAACTAATTATTTGATTATGTAACTAAAAGTTAATAATTTAAGTAGTAAACGGAATATTAATAAATTATGTATATAATAATTATTTTTTTAATACATTAATTAATTACTTCTAATCTAATAAATATGAGTACATTACTAACATATCAGTTACTTATAATTAATTACTAATTACTAATTTTAAATTATTTAGCATATTAATTTATTATATATAGTTTAATTATTAATGTACTCATTAATGATAATTTATCCATTATTATTATATTATTAATATATTAATTTTTATTTGCTAAATAATTATCAGTTATTAATTACTTAATATATTAATTTAAGATTATTAATTACATATACTCAAAACAAACATAAATGTAACCAAACACGATTTCACTTTTTTATCATACTCAAACTAATCTCTTGAAAGACCACCAAACGTAATTTCAGAATCAGTTTCAATATGATTTTCAAACAATCTCATTTTCATTTTTGTACCAAAAATAAAATTATTTTAAAAATATTACCAAACGGGCCGATATATATTGACACATATACAGGTAAACCAACAGTAGAAAGTGGACGTGTCAAAAAGCTGGATTATGTCGTTTGATAATGCTTAGGTATACTTTCATATGGCAACTTCTCAAATGATGTAAAAATTGCTCAATGAGGTTTGCTAAGACAATCCACAGCTCAAGAAATAATACAATTACTTACAAAAAAAATGATTAATTTCTTCTCAAGCATTGTTACTAAACATCTTTTTTCTTGTACAAATATCTATTTTCAAGAGACATATAGAGAACGAGCTATAATATGTTTTCTTGTCACTATCAAAATAAATAAATAAAAATTTTTTGTCGACTTTAGTACACACACATTTATAGATACATATATATATGTATAGATTCATTTTCCAAGCTAGTGGTAATTCATCAAAAAATTCTTTTTTTTAACTAGAAATCATGATGAGGGTTCCTGACAGTGTATAATACGTCCAAGTTACAGTAGCAAGTGATAGAAATATAAATATTTACTAATTTCTCAGCCAAAGGTTGAAGATATCAACGATCTGGTAAAGTAAAATATGCTGTGGATCATGAGTACATTGATCCTGTTCATGAATAAAGCAAACCAAGAAAATATTCTAGATCATGAAAAATGGATGGCATGAAAACTAGCGAACGAGAAATCTTTCTACGTACGTACGATCTTTAGTGTGTGCCAGAAAAATTCCATTCTTTTGAGCTTGATCACCAAGTGGGTATTTGGTTGCAATGGCAGAAACACAATTGTACATACAAGATATTGATCTTTGACAATTTAAAGGTTATAAATTCTTTGGTGGTAGTATTCCACTAACAAAGCACTCTGCTAAAACCATCATGTCCTAGTTAGAACCTTCCCAATGATTTGAAAGATCAATTGAACATTGTTGACAAATTTTTCTCGTTAGGTTTGTAGTTTTCATATGATCATCACTTATAAAGGACACAAGTCTGTGGATTTTGTAATATTGGTCACTGTCTGCCTTAATATTTATACTTAATATTTATACATCTAGAAATCACACGAATTAAGTAGGGTTTTAGGTATTTCAATGAACAGACACACACATAATATATATATATATAGACGAGTTTTCAATATGTTACGTTTCTATTAGTAATTACTACTAAATATATAGACAAACGGTCACGCACATGAGTAGTTAAAACAAATTATCATAGATATCAATTTACCATAATCCCATGCAACGTGGGTATTATACGATGTTTGCTTTGCCAGAGTTTGGGCGGTCAACGTTTTAATAATATGCTCTTTCATGCAAGCACGCCAAACTCAAACGATGAAAGAATTTGTGAACTCATATGATATATAAATTTGTAAACAATGAACTATATATTGATGTATAATGTGTGTATGCAAATAAACTATCTGAATTATATATATATATATATTATGTATCTTTGTGTGTATTACATATACATATATCAATTATTTATTTTTAATCAGTTATTTCTGCTTCTTCTACTTGATATTCTTTTCTAATCCTGATCATAGCTAGCTAGTCCAATGAAAACTTTATAGAGCACTACTGATGATCAATACTATTGTAACATTATGCGGACCACGTGTTCTGAATTGTTAAAAGAAATTATTGTTTATGCAAGTCTAAATGTATTTCATTAATTACCACTTCAAAAATATATATATATATATATATATATATATATTTCTGGGGATCGTCGAGCCTTTATATTAGTCCACATAATTAATTACAATATGCACGTGCAAGGAACGTACTTGAATAATATTATCTTTTTCTCAATATATTAATTTAGTGCTTCACTTATTTGTTACCTTACGTCTATCAATATATATTTATTAAAAGATTAAAAAAAATCGTATTTTTTCACGATACACTTCCACTAACTAGAATCTATGTTAATAGGACTATAAAAATGTATCAGTTTGAGATCAGCACCGTACAATCCACCCTTTTTGTCCCCAATTATTCTCCTGTTGGTTCAAAAGTAACAATGCAACTTGATTATTTTTTATTATCATGAAAGGAAAATAGCTTCAAGCCTTCACACCAATTAAAATTTCATGCTTTGTATTCCACAATAGGGAAAAGAATATGATGAATTGAAATTCTTGGCATGCATACAGAATCAAATAGAATATGCCCATTTCATCATGTTTACATGCTTTAAAACGATTTAGATTAAGGAACAAACGGATACATGCACGCATTAATTATTTCATTAAAAATCATGAATATTTAAAATTTGGATGATATGATCAATTATCACTTTGATGACACGATTCACATTCATGAAATTCGCACATTTTCCTTTTGAAGCTAGTGACTCGGGTAGAAGATTTTATCAATTAGTATTGATTCATACACACTTTTTTTTTCTTTTTTTGGTACTCCTGCAAACACACATATATATTATCTAACAAACCAAATTTTGGAATATTGGATAAAAAAACAAAATTGAGCATGTGCCGCCACTCCAGTCTAAAATTTTTATATGAAAAGTTTTCCTAAAGATGTTAGATATAATTTCAATTAATAAAAAAAAAGTTATGATAAGAAAATAATATTGGTCTTTCCCTTTCTCTCTCTATGATCTGATTGTGCTAGGGCTTCTTTGCGTGTGCCTCTCACTTAAGGCTGGAGTCCGGCGGTGGTGCTTTGCTGGCCCTCAGACTCCCGGCTCTAGAGATGGAATTCTGCGCTCCACGATGAAGGATTTGGAGGTCGGTGTGGCCTCTTGGTCAATGGGTTGGCTTTTGGCAAGCGGAGGAGGGTGGTCGACGACCTATCGGTGATTCGTTTGTTGTGGTCTGACTCCTTGCTTCTTCGGTGGTGTGGGTTGCCTAGACTTCGGTGTTTCTTCACATGTTGTTAGGGTTTTCTATTTTGTGGTAGATGGTTGTTTCAAATAATGGCAATGTTGTTTACTCCTCGTAGATTTAGATGTTTAATTTGTGATTATGTTTTTGTTTTGAGTTTGTAATAAAAGATGTGGTCTCCCCACTTTTCAGATTTACTTACGGTCTGCCAAATTTGTGTCTTGACAATGTTAATTTGGTTTTGCTAAACTTGTGTTTAGGCAAAGTTAGTGTTAGTCTCAATGCTACAAGTTACCATGCTCTCAATCGAATGGAGGTCTCCGTTTGATTGTAGATATCTTGTCAAAATTACGAGCATTATGTGTGGTCAATTATTGAGAGGAATTTTTCTATTGTCAAGTCTCATTAGATGTTATTGATAGATCCGATTTCAATGAAATGTTTTATCTTGTGTAACCATGAGGTCATTTGAATTGGTGTTTATATGTATTGTTTAGTTGAATGCAATTGATCTCCTTCAAAAAAAAAAAAAAAAAAAAGTTATAAACTGTAACCCACTTCACTTAATAATAAAAATTTATATATCGTAAAATGAAAAACTATCGATCATATTTTTATATTTCCCCACCATTCTATACCCGTATGTGTATACATATCCAAGTAAGTAATTTTTGCATTGCAATAACAAAAATAAATAATAATATAATACTAATAATTTCGAATGTTGCATTTGTATATATCTCAATAGCACCTTAATTTGTCCAAATAACCTTATCTTTTTCTCAAAAGAAATTGTAGACTTAAGTATAGTCCGTAGTAGTTGTGCGCCTCTTTAATTTTCTCTCGTTAGAATTTGGTACACATATTACCTCTAAAACGTTCGAAAAAAAAAAATACAACAGCACGCATAAACTCCCTAAAATGAAAAACAAAGGTATTACCTCTAAAACGTGCGAAGAAAAAAAAAATACAACAGCACGCATAAACTCCCTAAAATGAAAAACAAAGGTGAAACGAATTAAACTAGCACAATATTAGAATCTCAAACAAAAATTAATGAGAAGCAGTGGCTTCAATCCCAGAGACTGAAAAGACACATAAGAAAGCTGAGCATTCTATGCAATACTATATTTTACATGAGGAATCACTGGCTCACGACTGAAGTAAATAAAAGGAAATTGTGTTTTAATGTAAAAAATGACCAATATGTGTCTGAACATATAGTTGTCCTCAGTAGTCTCCCACTATTACGATTAATAAGAATAACCAAATATTAATTAATGACAGCAATCCCAGAGTAATTCATCCCACATTAGAAAGCTGATCACATTATTCTCTACTGTCTTCAGTAATTAATTAGTGATGTGTCATTAAATATATGCCAGAAAACTTTAGTACTTTCTTGGCTAGAACAGAAAATTCTAGTACTTTCATCAAGTATAATATATCTATATTATCACGATATTATCATTACGCACTTATAATTCAAACAAAATGGGAAGCACATGCACAAGAGAACATTCACTTTTGGTCACTCTAATCTCAAATATTTATTTATTTCTATTTATTATTACGTTTTCCAGAGTCAGACCACAAGGAGCACCACAAGCACAACGCTAATATATATGCTGCTTTATATTCTTGGCTTTTCGGTTTTTATTTATTTATTTTTTTTATAGTGGTACCTTTAGAGTCGGCAATATGAGTCACGACACGATAACACGACTCGAAAAGATACAAATTTCACGGGTTAGGGTTGAGAAAAAAGATGTTCGGGTCAGAATTGGGTCGACTTGAAATTGACACGAAAAACACGGGTCAATTTCGGATTTGACCCGCTTAACCCGAATACGATACGAAACTCGTAAAAAACTAAAAAATACATATATTTGTCATTACATATTTTTTATTTTATTATGAACTTGTGATATCATGATAGTTATACTCAAAATCTTATACTATTATTTGCTTAATTTCAATGGATGTTATTGTATTTTAGTGTGTTATGAATTTTAAGTTATTTCTACTATGTAAAAAACTAAATAAAAATATACAATTTTCGTGTCAATTTCAGGTTTACAGGTCAATTTCGTGTCATGAGTCATTTTCGTGTCGTGTCGTGTCAACCCGTAAAGTAGTCGTGTCGTGTTCGTGTTGCGGTTTTTAAAAATTTCGTGTCACGAGTCGTGTTCGGATTGACTATAAATTTAGAAAAAAAAGATCAAAACACGACACGTGATACGAATTACCATCAGGACCTTTCAATTTTTGGTTTTAAAATCTATTACTTTGTTTTAAAGTGGTCGCTGGCAAGATGTGTTGGGGTCAACTCGAATCCAGTGTCGACATTCGTTACTGTATTGAGTAAAACACGACATGTCGTTTCCACTGCAAAGTTTGTCGTATTTCAATCAAGGTTGTTTTTTTTTTTTTTTTTTTTTTTTCAACTTATTTATCGGTCAGTATCTTTCTTTCACTTTCTGTATAAAATGACAAGTCCATTGCAGTATAAATTTTGCAGTTTTTTTTATTATTTTTTTTACAGTTGCTTACAATATAAACGTCATGTCTTTGATGATGTGAAACATTTTAGTATTATTAAAAACGACAAGCCGTTACAGTGTTTATAGTTCACTTTGTTGTTTTCAAAGTCAATGAGATTCAAGTTACCGATGTTCGTCTCTAGAAAAGACATGTATAGTTTCTCGTTTAATTTTCTCTCATTCGTTTTAAGATGAAACGACATGACATCCTCCTTCCATGTCAAACAAACAACAACGTCGTTATTCAACTTGTGCTACAGTTTAGGACATGGAGACGACATCTTCTTATTTTACAATTTGCGGTCGGTTTAGAAAAAAACAAACATTTTGTATGTAAAAACAAGACATGTTGGCAGTTTGACAGAAAACAGAAGGGAGAATAAAAGACCAGAACAATGCATATAAAAACAAAATAACCCGCAACACCAAAGTTTACAACTGTTGGAAACGGCAAGTATTAGTGATCAACCACTAGAAAATAAAACAGCAGGAGGGAAATGCATAAAAAGAAAAGAAAAAGAAATCGTGAAAAAGAACACCATAAATAATCAACGACGATAATCCTTAAAAAAACGACAACGTAGCTATAACTGATTTTTTTTTTTTTTTTTAATGGACAGCACTGTAAATTTACTTGTCGGCTCAGAAGAAATACAATACAAAATAGACTTTTTTGCATTTATTTTCATTTATAGCGTCAAAACAGGTAAAGTGTGTGATATATACAAATACACATGCAAATAGTTATATTCCAGAACACAACCATCAACTGTTTCCCTACGAGAGGAATATCCTTTAGAACCGTTGAGATATCACCAACTCCACCAATGAGAGCACAGTCCATTTGTATGGGAAAACTACAACGTTCTTCCATAAAGTTTGGCTTTCTTCCATAACGTTTGGCTTTCACTGTCTAAGCTAATATAATATGCTTAAATGATGATTACAACATCAGAAAAGATTAGAAGAAGATTAAAGAAGCTTGGGAATGGACAAGCATAGCATGCTAAATATACATACAAGACTAATTAATATACACAAGGCTACCAAAATTTGGATTTCGCTGACTAATTTTACGTGCTTTAATAATAAATACATTCCTTGCTAAAAATAACGACTTCTACATAGCTAACAAGCACAACAAGCTCCTATACGGCTATACCTATACCTAACTAAAAATAATACACCTAATTTACGGAACAGATGACAGTCATCAATCTTACCAGCCATAAATTGGATTTTCTACCTGCGGGGGCAAGAGATGCAGGTCCTTACAGTGTTGCTTGTCGTAATCACGCGTCCCTGGTATCGCTCCAGTGCAGAGCCTGAGGAATTCGTTACCAGTGAGACAGTAATGGGCAAATGCCAATCCTCCGTCGACCATTTGTGTCAGATTGGGCATTGACAATGACTTCGTCATAAACTTTCCATTTGCATTGCTCAATTTCTCACCAACCGTGATATCGTTCAAGACTTTGCTAAGATCAGAGTATTCCACGAATCTTTGGGTGGCAGCCTCCCACGATAGGTTATATCTTTCCTCGGGAGTAAGAGGCAGGGGTTCATTTGCTAAAGCTTCCTTCACTTTGGCTACGAAGTCCTCAGATGTCTTGTAAGTTAAGCAATTAGTAAAGGACATGAAAAACTCATTCGAAGGATGGTCTGCACAAACTACAAATTTTCCCATGGCTAGTGCCTCGGCAGTAGCCGTGCATAGTACATCACTGACGCTGGGGTTTATGAAGACTTTGTACCTTCAAAAAAACATAAAAAGAGCACTTTAAAAGAATTGAGCATTAATTTACGAGTTAGTTTTTCAGTTCACACCATTGCACAAAAACATTAATCAAAGTAGACTGGGTTTTCAATGATCTTTTTTTTTTTTTTTTTGATAATTGGGTTTTCAACGATCTTTACCTGTGAAGAGAATCATCTGCATGATCTCTTCCTTTCATAAAGTTGAGATTCAATTCCAGCTTTTTAGCTGTACTCTGAACCTCATGGGCGTCCTCTCCATTCCCAAACACGTCCAACTTGAAGCCACTAAGTTCATTTTTATGTTTTGCCAACAAATCTATCAACTCCCTGTAACCCTTTGCCCAGACCATCTTGCCCAAGAAATATGCTCCTTCTGAGAAAGCTTGCTGTCCCAGTTCCCTTTCTGCGGCTATCTTTTCTCCTATTTTTAAGAACGTAGGATTCACGCCATGAACATTGCAAACCACAGATTTGGGTAAATCCTGTGTTGCAGCTGAAAGGCGAAGAACCTGGATAAAGATCATAAAAGTTAAAAGATTTAGTTACTTCAAGATAGAGACCAAACCCAGGATCATAGAAGGTAAATCGAAAAGGAAAAATAAGTCAAACCTTCTCAAGATACGAACAAGCAAAACAATGAAAGGAACTAGAAAACTTTCAATTTAAATGACAGAACTCGTAGATTATCCAACATTTGTCTCAGATAATAAAATATACCTTGTTACAGTAAGCTCTTGTGACCCAATTGTTTATATGTTTCACGAGGAATGCTTGGAGAGCCCCATTCTTCTCCCTCTTGATATATTCCAAATAATTTGTGTGGACAACACCAACAACATGGTTGAACTTATCAGTCCAACGTTTACCATGATGATACCAATTCAGATGTTCTGGTTCTTCCAAGATAGCAATGTCCGCATACTTGGATGGAATAAACTGAGAAGTATCTCCAGCTGGTATTATGCTTCTCCTCTCTTTCGAGAACTGGAGACATTCAACACATATCAGATGTTAAACATAGCTCAATACAAATAATTAACGGGAACCAGTTTTTCTTTTTTCTTCCTATTTTTCTCTCTTTTTGTTCCTTCCAAAGACGTACCTTTCCAGGATAAAATGAGATCTTAAAATCAGCTCTGAAACCAATCCTTTCCTCAAGCCAGTTGCGGATATAGATTTCCTGCTCTTCCGGTGAACTAAAAGTGACATTGTTGGGATACACTAGTTCTTGATCTGATTTACAGAGCCACGGAACCAATAGTGTCACATTTTGTTTTGCTGATTCTGCAAGATATGCAGCACGGAAAAGTGGATTCACGGCTGTTCCAGTCATCCAAGGAAGACTAGCAGTTGTGACTATGGCAACATGCCTTTTCCGGTCTGATGGATCATGCTTTGAATGGTCTCCCCAGAAGCCACCCTCATAACGATGTCCTGTACTTTGAAGGACACTGGCTATCCTTAAATCCAATTCGTCATTTACGTTTTCACTCTCTAAAATTGAGGATTCTTCTGAAGAAAGAGAGCGTAATAGGAGCTGGTTTTTGCGTTTGCTGCACAAGTTCTCCACTATTTTGTCACAAAGATCTGCAATAATTTTGGAAACACAATCAAAACTCAACAGCAGCAGTAATGATCTCTCATACACTCTCAAACTCCTATGAAGTATACGTTATTGCAGAAAATATGAACTCAAACTTATCTACTTAAACAAAGTCACCCACTGGTATTTTGATTTAAACTAAGCGCTTTTGGATGCTCCCTGACAAATACAACCATAAATAAAGTCTTAAAATTGTCAACACAAGAAAAAACCAGTGAACTTTTCAATTAGGGAAAAGAACAAGTTAGTTTTTTATAAGCAAATATTCAAGAAAACCATGGAACTTCAGTCACGCAGCAAGGAAAGGAAAAAAAAAAAAAAAAAAAAAAAAAACCAACATATAATGATGCATCTTAAAGGTAACAGTAAAGAATTACGTACCCTTTCTAACGCCAAGCTGATCCAAAAACGGCCCAGATTGCCTAACCAAAGATGCCAAAAGTTCTGGCACATCCAATGGTGGTACTTCCTATCAGGTAAAAAAGAGAGAGATTAACAAAGAACATTTTCTAAAAGCCTTCCCTATACAATGAAGTGAAAGGAAAACCCAGATTCATTCATATGTGGCAAAGCTACACCTATAATTCTGCTATTAACCTGGATACTCTATTAAGACAAAGGATTACTACTCAATCTAGAAAGCAAATTTAAATTAAATCCTTTGTGTTTGCATTTTCAGTATTCAATAATACAAAAACTTTAGTAAATTTTACAGACAAAACCACCTCCAATTAGGTGTTCATCATCTTTGAACAAAAGCACGTGTCAATCTCTGACATTCAACTTGATTGACTCAACTGAGCCATAGCACCGACTAATGCAGGTATATCCAAATGAATACTCCAGATAACAAAAGAATCCATTTTACAGACAAAATGTGTCAAAGAATGCAATGTTGCACAATACAATATGACAAAAGGAGGGGAAATTTCTGTAGGTGAAATGCCAACCTTTGACTCCTGAGGCTCCTTGTAAATTGATTTCTGAAAGAAACAAAACAAAAGACTCATAAGAATATGTACAAGACATGATCTAGACAACAGCAGGAATAACCCACTTCAAAAAGGTAAATTCTCATTATCAGAGATAATCAAAATGAAGACAAAGTTGCCACTGCTAAATGGACTGATAAACATCACATAAAACCTTTTCATCAAACGTAGGCTCAAACATGATATTATCTTCAAAATATTTGGTTGCATCATATATAATAAGCAAAATGCACGGCAATTAAGCTCCAAATGATCAAACATGTCAGTTCATGTGCACCGTGTGCTTTTGGATGTTCTGTCTCTCACAAAATAGCAAGGATCACACATGTCATCCTAAGATTTTGTATGGTTCAAAGTTGAAGGATTGAACACATGTAGAGGTTTCATAATATAAATGCAACTATGCAATCTCACAGCAATAGTTCCAACTACCCTTGTTGAAGTGCATGAACTGATTGCTAGTTTCCAACCACAATATATATATATATATATATGATTGAGATCCTTAAGGCTTCAATTTACCCTTTACTAGATAATTACAACTTCTTGAGAATACCAATGACTATGGCATCTGCACGCAACTTTTTATTTATTTATTTATGGGTACTGAATTTTGTATTTCAGCTATTCAGTCCATATTCATCTGTCTCCCAGTTTGTTATTTCCATAATTAGGGCAGGAAACTCCATATGCCCACCTAGAGATGATAAGGAAAATAACCATACTGACACATGTATATAATTACATCCATTCACATGACTTTGCTCACATGAATTGACTAACAACGCACCACCAATACGTATCTACAGATTCCACTTTGTTATGGCTGCCAAAAGCAAAAGAACTTTGGCCAATGAATTCTGATGGTATGTCTAGAGAAATTCTACTTAACTAGTGTCAGCTAAAAACAGAGCTCTGAAAGCTTTTAAGCAAACTCTAGATGCCCTGTAAACCAAGATACTACAAAACTCTGGATGCAAAATTCTTTTAAGACTTCCAAACTTTTTCAAGTTTTAATCAGTTTCTGGGTCTACTTAAAGCATTAGGGTTGTGCAATAAAGCAAAATTTATAAAATTATAAAGTGGAAATTCCTAGCTAGAACATAAATGCAACTGCGATCAAAATTTCTTATTTTATATTTTCTTGTTGACCCAGAAGTAAATTCTACAAGTTCAGCACGAATTACTCATGATATCTCAAAACTAAGGAAAAACAACCAAAAAAACAAAAACAAAAACAAAAACAAAAATTGTATCTCTCTCACAAAATCAGACCGCCACTAAACCATTACGCCTAAAGCAAAATAGAAAGCAAGAGAGAACATACCAAACCGGACTTGAATTTCTCCACAAACTCACTGTTCTTGAACCCGCCAAAAATCTCCGCCGACGAGCTTCGAATCTCAAACTCCTTCAACCTCGTCTTCAACGCCCGAATTGGCTCCCAATCCTTAGTCTGCCCTTCCTCAGCCTCCCCCTCCCCCTTCCACTCGCCCCAAAACTCCCTAAACGTCAATTTCCTCCCTCTCCTAACCCTATCGAAATCTATCGTCTCGTCCCCCTCGGCTTCCACCTCCGAAACGATCGCATTCTTAATGGCGGACAAATCGATCCGAATCCTCGACCTCGGCCCCCACTTCTCCAGAACCTTCTTGCTGAAATCCGGAGACGAGTAGTTCCTCCGGAACTCGGAGAGGTTCGGCTGGAGCCTCTTGACGAACTCAATCTCCGCCGGCGGCGACCGAATCGCCGGGACAGAGAACGCCGACGCCGAATTAAAGAAGTTCTCGATCTCCCGGTCGAACGACGTTGCGAGGTTCTTGAACGAGTTCGCGCGCTCCTTCATCAGCTGGAGATCCGCGTCCGCCGAGTGCTTCACCTCCTTCCATCCCTTCGATATGAACGAGAACGCGCTCGGCGTCGAAGCTTGACCGTCGTTGACCATGGCGAAAACGAAAAATCTAGGGCTTCGAAAAGCTCCCCAATTTCTGGGAAATTTTTTATGGAGAGCTGTTTTCCAGAGAGAAAATTCAGAGACAGAGAAGAACTGAAGAAGAGGACGCGGCTGAGGATTTAACAGTTGGGATTTTGGGGCTTCTGAATTTTTCTGGAAATGAGTGGTACAAGTGTTCCTCCACGTAGGACAAAACACGTGACTACGAGATTTCTTCTTGATGACGTAGAATACCACTGATGACATGGCGGAGTTTTATTGGTTGGAGACTATTCGGGATTTGGAATATTCTGGAAGTGGGAATATGCTGGAGAGAGGTATGGGCTGAGATTGGGTGCTTCTCGACTATTGTGTGAGGGTGATGATTTAAAGACGCGTCGAGTTGTGATTCGTTAGATGTGGGCACCAGGGAGAAATTATGTCCTCTCGTTCCGCCCCGGCCTTTTTCTGACTCTGGAGTCTGCCGTATGGAATTCTTCGGTCCAGGTGCCAGCGATGCAAGAAACGACGCGTGAAAAATATCTGGGCTCTGGTTTGGCCTTTTTAATTGAAATTGGTAGACAAATCTACGGTTAAATTCGTTGTCAGCGTTAGGCTTAGTTTGATATTATTATTATTTTTAAATTATTTTTTTATAGCATAAGTTAATTTTAATATTTGATAAATTTTCTCAAAAATTCTTTTTAAAATTTTTTTTAAGAATTTACCGTTAAAATTAGAAACAGCCTAAAGATAATTTTAACTTTTAAATTGTGCAAGAATCAGCATAATACAATTAATAAAATTTTTCATAATACTAGTAATACGCCTAAATAAAATTTAAAATTTATACCAATCTAAAATTCATACTCGTAATATAATATAATATAATATAATATAATAGTAATATTGTAACAAATAATATCATAATTATATTAATAACTCTAATATTATTATTTTATCATATAATATGATATTATAATAATATTATAATTATTTTAATAATATGATATTATAATTATAATA